GGGGGGGGGGGGGGGGGGGGGGGTGCGAACGTACCCCCTGCACCCCCCTAGCTACGGGCCTGCAGTGTCAGACACGTGTGGTCTAGATCTAGTTCGAGTTCGTTGAGCGTGGATATTGAGTAGCTACCAATGTCTATGTAAGTAAGAGCCACCCCCCTTAAATCGTTCATTCCCCATTAAATGCCCTCGTGTCTACAAGCAAAATGACGGAAGTACGTATACCCGACCAATATCGAGGCATAATTTTATAAGCACTTTCTTTTGTTCTGTGTTCCTGGTCCTCTGACATCTCTGTCGATCATAACTTCATGGGTCTTGGTCTTTTGTATGTTCCCTAATGATTTCTGATGCTCCAGACAAAGGCAATATATTAATTACTCTATCTGGTTACAACGCGTTTCTTGAGAGCTTTATTCTCGCTCTGGCATTTGCTGTTTTGTTTTGTTTCGTTTACAGGAAGCGAAATAGAACCTATGGTATCCAGGGTAGAATACCGCAAGAAAACAGCCTGATTTAGTCTGTTTAGTGTAGCTATGCTTTGCTCCGGTGGCTTAGGCGGCACTTGCATCTCTCACCTCTGGGGTATCGAGTTTGATGTGAGCAGAGTTTGTTAGGCCTCTTTCTTGATTTCAGGATTTTTCCCCGGGTTCTCCAGTTGTCCTTGCTCCACAAAACCTAAATTAGAGCAAATTCCAAGTCCAAGCAGCTGCACTAGCCATTCTGCAAAATTGTTTTCGCAATATTGGAACAGTATAGCACTCATAGACTTTGCTATCAAGATAACAGTTAGTGTCAAGTGTTTGATAGTCAAATATCTCTCACAGATGGTGCAACAGACGGCAACAGCCGTCAAGCTTGGGCGGCTCTCATGGCGTTTCCGTTTGGGAACTCAGCAAAACTGACCTCAAAAAATTGAACTGAAAATCATACTAAGAGGAAAATAAAGAATTCACACTGGTTCTCGTGGAAAGGAAGGCGTTTATTTTGTCTTTTTTCTTTTCTAAAAACCTTTTATGAGTTTATGAATGAAAACCGAACCGCCGATTCGCATGCGACCATGAACACTGAAATGGCTTTCACTGCTATTGGCGAGGCAATTTTCGATTTTCGATTGCTTGATTATTTGAGAACGGAAGTTGAGGTCGAATTATTTCTTCGTAACTATCTAGGGGTTCTATTATCTTTGTTTGCCATAAGCTGGCTGAGAATACCAAAGGAATGCATTGTTGATTCAATAAAATTGGTCATTTCCGCCGCCAGGTACAATCGCTACCTCCAAGTATCTTTTCCAAGTTGAATCACTGTCATTTATTCTGTTCGTTGGCTGAGCATTTCCTTTTAAATTGGACGTGATCTGGATATATCAACTTGGTTTAAAACGGACTTAAAACGACTTAAATTCTTTATTTATATCAGTGATACTTTTACATACGTGGTGTGCGAGATGAGTCATGTTTGTTCTCTGATTTGAGTTTTTTCGCCGAGTTCCTTAGTGGGGCGTTTTTCATCCTTCCTCAATTGCACCAGTGGTGAAACAATAGCCAGTCAAGATAATTTTCTATTTGTTACGGCTATCATTGGACAATGTGGACAAAGCAAGCTGACAAAGTATCGACATTGTTTTGGTCTACAATAGATCAAAATCAAAGCCGCTTTTAACTTACATGGCGTTTTCTTCTCGTTTCTTAACCATAGCATCTTACCATCATTCTCCTGGTGATAAGGAAACTATTCCTGCTAACGCATTGGGCTCTTTCTTCTTTCGTTTCTCCGTTTGTCTCTATTTTCTTTATTTATTTACTTTTCTCCTTCCTTCGTTCTTTCTTTTTTACCTTTCCCCATCCAGGCATAAAATAAGACAAAAACCTAAGATTTCTAAATGCGTGTTTCATAAGCGAATACAAAAACAATACTATAGTTGAATTCTTCTTTAATTTATTTTCGAACGAACTGCATCTCCTATCGCACGGCTTATTATATCATTTTTAATGTTATTTCAAACCCTCGTTCTATAAATAATCTATAATTCTATTACTTTACGGGTCACGTCAAGTAAGCAAGCGCATATTAATATAAAAATTAGAATTCTATAAATTTTAGTTATCATAAATAATATGTCTATAAAATGAATTTTGCCATGCAAACAAACATTGCGAGGGAAATAAATATAACTAATAAATACCTTGAGTTAAAATTAAAAGAAATACTTAGCAAAAAGCGATCGATTTTGAAACTATTGCTCTACTTAATTTTCGCACGAGGAACAGTTAATAAGGTTGTATCCAAGGCTCTCTCAGAGCTATGCAACAGTCGTTTGACGAATACATGCAACCTCGTGGTAATCTGGTGGTCCATTGGCGAAAAGAGCCTTATAATTTGGTGGTTGGACGTCTTCTGAAATGCTGTTTTTCTTCTGAGCACAGTTTCTGTTTTCTTGAGTTTTAGATCTTTCGTAAGAGTCATTATTTTTGTCACGCATTGGGTTAAACAAGCAGAGATATGGTGGGGGACCGGCGTATTCCTCTACGCTAGGTATCCTTGCGTTACGAACGAAATCATCAGGGATATCAATCGATGTGAAGTCTAGTGTAATACTATTGATTGAAGAGCTAGAAAACTCGCTCGGATAGCCACCATTACATTCCTTACACTGTTTATAACAAGCAAAACATAGAAGACCCCAAAAACAGAGCATTAGAATCGAACAAACAGAAATAACTGCAGCCAAAGATGCTTGAGTGTGAGGAAGTCGTTGTCTTGAGTCACATTTTCCATTTTTACAAAGTGAAGCCTGATCCGAAGGACAAGGAGACGTAAGATCGCCATCAGTGTCACAAGCATTTCCACAATTGATCGTCACGAATAAAGTTATTATAAATAGCAAAAATGTTTTCCGTAGATTAAAAAAACCATTCTCTCCTCTGTGTTCCATGGTTGAAAAAAGGTTGATTAATTTTGTACAGCCACTTCAAGCTCGCTCAAGCGCAGAGCAGTACGCCGTGAATAAACTATACTTGTCTAAGCCTTTGCATTGTGAGAGTTTAAGGTTAAAACAGTTATATGACCGTTTATGTTCATGACGTCACTGGGTGTAACAAGGTTAATATCCTGTGTAGGACTGGAATATTACGGAAATTACGCTCAAAACTCCCTACTCAGTGTGATGACATCTGGCCTAATTATGACGTTTTTGTGACCACAGATGTTGGTACGTCAGTACGGCCTGAGGAAGTGTCGAAAACAACCTGCCTATTCAAGCTAGAGGTTGCCTATCCAACGCTATACCGTACACATTAAACGGGATTATCTGTTATCACAACTGCAATATAACGATAAGAAATACAAACTAAGGTTTTATTTGTCCTCTGTTTATCTAACTCCTTGTGTCACGAAGAAAGCACTTGCTACGTACCAGTGTCAAAGTATACACGAGATCTAGAGATAGACTAACCACATTTTTGTGATCTCTTTACATCGTTAGACAACGGGTAACATAGAGCGAGAGGAACGTAAAAAATTGTAATATTTTCCATCCATAGCTATCAAGCTAACAAGATAGATTATGATGAGAAAAATAGCTTCGTATTTCCAGTCTCGAAGTATTTTTAGTACTTATTAGATTCTGAATAGAAATGACGTGTGGGATGTGAATAGTTCATAGTGGCCGATGATTGAATCGTTGACGTCATAATGAGTTATTATCACTCCTCATGACATTCAAACTGCAGACAGAGATCATGAAAAATTTAAAAATCAACACGGCTTAGATATACTTTTATTTGAGAAAACTGAGGCTTTTTTGCTGTGGTTTTGAAAAAAATGAAATGTTCAAGCCGATTGAATGTGGCAGGTACCTCAAAGAAAAACCGCACAAAGCAGATATTGGATAATGATAGTTGGCGAGCTGATTATTATAATCAGAGACATAACATTTCAGCTGCGTGATATTGTATTCTGTGTTATTATGGCACGTGGCAAACAGACCGCGACTGAATGAATATCATTATTACAACGGCCTACAAGTGACAGGCAAGCACTGCCCGTCATCTGCTATCAACCAGAGAGTATTCTATTGCTTGGTATCAATCAGCTGAATGAATCTCATTACCAGCCTACAATGCCAGGCAAACATTGCCCGTCATGTGCTATCAACCAGAGAGTATTCCATTGCTTGGTATGCAAATAAGCTGGATGTATCTTATAAATGTCGTTACCAGTACAATGACAGGACTTCTGCTCTTGTATATACCATACCCATGATGGTTATATCTAACCGTGTTCTGTTGTCTCATATACCATACCCATGCCTATACTGATGGTTATAGCACCCGTGATCTGTTGTCTCATATACCATACCCATGCCTATACTGATGG